GTTTAGACTATAGCTCAGGTAGGCGCATTATGAAACACGAGTGCTGTCTCCAATAGCAGTTCTAAAGGGCTATAGGGTATTACTTCCTTAGAATTTGGGATTTCCGTACCCCGTAGCGGAAGAAGACAAAGGAATTAGGGCAGCTTTAGGGTTTAGTGTTGAGGTCTGGCGTCAAGGCCTCTGAGGGTAGGATTTAGGACTCAGGGCTTCCGGTAGCATGCAAAAGGCAAGCAGGTCACGTGAAAAGCCGCTCTAACTGAACCCATTGCACTTCTGCCATCTTCTACCCTGGTTTGTGACGTTGACATGAAAATCTGAACGGCAGTCACTACGAGGTTACGTAGTCAAAGCTGCGCTGTCCACCACCTCCTCCTCCTCCTCCTCCTCCTCCTCCTCCTCCTCGACCGCATCCTCCGTCGCCCTGTCGCTCCCGCCGCCGCTGTGGTGGCTGTAGGACACATGCTCCCAACGCAGATAAGAGCGATGCTACATGGTAGTAGGGATAGCAGAAGGGAGGCATGGCCATGCCAACAAGACAATACAAATCACCACCTAGTAGCCAATAGCACAAAACATCTATTGCCACTGCAATATTACTGCACATTTGATTTGGGGTCCATGTGTTTGCAACCCCGCAGCAAGTCGTTACCAGGCCAACGATATGGGCACCCGTGTCCATAATCCTCTTTGACTCCTTTCTATCCCGCGGGTTCCCTTATTTTGAGAAACCCCATTTAACCTACCCAGGTTTCTGGGCCATGGGACTATAGCATAAGTCCCTCTTCAGGCTCCCTGCCTCAGCTCAATTGTTACCCTCGGCCAAGTAAACATGAAACCCCACAGACTCGGTTTCATTGTCAGTTGACTAATGCTTTGTTCAAGAAAGCGTGGCAATGTGTTTTTTTCCGTTGAGGTTCGTCTATAGGATGGATTGTCGTTTGATTGTTGGCGTGATGTTTGATTGCTGGGTTGAGATGATGAGGCTGGTGTAGGGTTGTTGTGAAACGCAGGTTAAGATCCCCACGCGGCACGAGCAGGCTTCGCCAGAGCTCCCAGCTTTACCTGCGACAGTCTAGGGTGTAGGCTTTTGGGATTAGGGTTTAGCGTTGAGGGTGAGGTTGGGCCCCACCCACCTATAGTCATGGTACTGTATTGGGGTCCCTCTACACTCTAGGGAAAGGGGGCCAAGATTTAAGGCTTAGAGTTTAGAGTTTAGGGTTCCACAAGCTGGGACTTAGAAGTCGTCGGCTCCAAGATTCAAGGTTTAGAGCTATGGTATGTTTGAAGATCGGCGTCTCCCTACATACCCCCGACGCACTATAGTCCTGTTGCATAAGAAGCCCTGCAAAAGAACGGATCATCTGGCACGCGGGCTATTGGCCCTATTCTAGTCAACAGTTGCGTGATCTTCTCTGGACCACTGGAACAGGGTGGAATGCAACTTCAATTCAACACGTTGCGAGTTGCACACCTTAGGCGACGCTAGCACCGACAGCAGTTGACGAAGACTGACGTGTGCGAGAATGACCCCCAAAATCCCTGAAGATTACAGATCCCACAAACCCCTGGAGTTGAGCGTCTGGAGGGTTTAGGGTTTGGGGTTTATTAGGGTTCAGTATTACCCCACCTGAAAATGGATGTCAACATGGAAATGTGTTTATTCGCAAGCGGGCTACATGCGGTTCCATTTAATTTGGGAGAGGGTGCTTGGAGTGTTGGGGGGCACCTACCTAGCAAGTCGTGGTAAGCATCTGCATATATGGCCTCTACAGGCCACAGAATAGCCCCAATCTTCAGTACTCCCAGCACACTTTGAGCGAAATAACATGGGGTGAACCCCAAAACCCGAAGAACCCCAAACTCAGAGGCCTTCTTCGTGGCCACCCACTCCTTGATCTGCGCTTCTAAGCACTCGGGGGTCCAGTCGCCCGTGTAATTCCTGAGGTTGGAACACAGAGTTTCAAGTTAAGGTTTTAGAACTTGAGTCACAAAGGTCTTAAATCTGTGGCTGGGCGGGGGGGGTGGGGGGAAGTTGCAGCACTGTCTCGTCAGTTCTTATAACTTATTTACTCACTAACCTCCCGAAAGATTTCAGTCTCGCGTAAAACTCGAGCGACATCGCGATGTGTGCGTGGACTTGCTGGACTTACTTTTGGGGACGAAACCATTGCGCGGTGTACCGTAACCTCCCAAAATGCGGGCTTCCAACATTTAGGGTTCGGTTTTGAGGTATGCTCAAGGTTCACGATATTAAAACTATACAAGGCATCTGGGACATCTAGGGCTACAATATTGGTAAATATCAGGGACAATACTGGTAAGAAGTAATGTTATTTGTGTATCAGGCTTCAACATTAACGCCCAAGCATCGTGAGGATCTCAAGCAAGTCGCTGAGGGCTTTCTGGTCCTTGAGGTCTGCAGCCTCAGAATCTCTGGAGGAACATCTATAATCTAAACTCCTCAAAGGGGTAACTAAATAGGGCATTTCAAGGGGGATACTACGACTTCAGGATTATCGCTCAAATGTGTTTCATAAAATGGGTACCCTGCCCATATGAGCCATAGTCCAAACTCCTAGGTCTTAGTATCCCCCCTTAAGAAGCCCCGTAGTCGTACCCTACATAATCGCCTATACAACCCGTGAAAGGAAATTTCGATATGGCTCATATGTTACGGGAGACTTGTTCCCCAATTGGGTGGTTTTGGGAGTGCTTGACTTGGGAAAGATGCCAAGTCAATTGGGGTTTAGGGTTTGGGTTCAATATGAAGAGCAAAGCCTGGCATGTTCGAAGTACTACTTACTGCTGCTCTGGAGTTCAGGGTTTTAGGCTTCAGGGCTTGTAGCTTAGGGTTTCAGGTTTGAGGGTTAGGAGAGGCAGGGAAGATCTGTAGGGGATAGCCCATATGAGCTATGTACCCCCCCTTTAATAAGACTCCCCTGTATTATCCCTATATGACCCCCCTCATAGTGCAAGAATCCGTATAGGGATCCACCCTCCCACGGTCCCTGAAGAAGCAGTAAGACCATCATCCGTAAGCATTCGCAATACGGAAAAACACCAAGGTTGTTTTAGGGTTTAGGGTTTCGGGGAAAATTTCCCCACCTAATTAGGGCTTGGGGCTCAGGGTTTCTGGTTCTGACGTGAGCAAAGCTCTTTCCAATTTGTCAGTGCCCTTTACCAGCTAAGTATGGGGCTAGAATGCTAGAATGTGCCTATGTCCCGAAACCAAAAACGAATAAGGCATTCCTGTAGTAGATTATGCCCAGACTACGTCAGGGTTACAAAGGGATACTACCGATTCAGGACTCTACATACTAATCCCCAACCCTGAACAGCTTTGTCAGAAGCCCCTACCAGCAGGTGTTGATTTACTCCGTCCCCCTGACAATTAAAAGGCTTCGGGCTTTAGGGATTCAGGGCTTACAGTAGGACTTAGGGGTAAATCCCCGCATAGCTTTATCAGATGCAACTTGGGAACATGTATTGTCTTTTACTAGCAATACATATTCAAAAATTTACATCTAATGGCGCGCTATTGGGAATACTGATCCTTCGGGGTGCCGGGCGGGAGACTACCCTAGCCTGGAATCGCAGGCCTTCCTGATACATCTGAAACGTCCCGACACCATCCTAAACCTACCTTCAATCCAAAACCACCCTAACAGCCCTCAACCCAGAAGAGGGGCCCCTGGCTAACCTCTTGCTAGCACGGAAAAAAGCATGGAAGAGATATATATATATATATGAAAACTACTGGTGATTAAGTTTTGACTACTATAAGGATTCAGTCCGTCATTCCTTGAAAACCAAATAGATGGAAGCTTTCTAAGCCACATGGGCAGGTAGTCAAGATTGTGGTACCATTTTTGAGATGCCCAAAATATCAGACTTTCTGACAGCCGACCAAGGTGGCCCAAAAATCTAACTATACGGCGGTTGAAGCATTAATGGACTCTGCCGCCTCAATTCCATGAACTAAAGTAGGAGCTCTGAATCTACTTCTGTCTCCAGGAGGACAACCTCAGTATACACTCACCAGTGTTCCCAAGAGTTCGCGAGCAGTCGTATAAATAAAACTCACCCAAACCGTAAAAGTAGTCCTGAAAAGTATTGAACTCTAGTCAATACATCCAGGTAAAACCAAAAAAATGACCACCCAAAAAAAATCACCCAAATCCCTGCCTGAATTCTGCAGCCAGACCTGTATTCTTTTCTCACCAAGCTGCCGCTGCTGGCGAGACGTCCATGGGCCGCTGGCACATGAAGAACCATCCAGCCTCTTCTTCTTTGGGTTTAGAGTTAAGGATTAGGGTTTAGAGTCTAGGGTTGGGGCCATGGTGGCGCTGGGGCAAAATGAGTATCAAACAGCCTCACCAAGTAGATGGACTAGAACATGAACATATCTTAAAAAAAGCAAGTAAATGGTAGCAGAGGTACTCGCTGCAAGGCGGAGGAGTGATGATGAAAATGTATGAACAACTGTGAAGAAGGAACAACATGGTGGCAGTAGCAGTAGAACTAGCAGTCCAGTAGCAGTGGTAGCAACAGCAGCAGTAGCAGTAGTAGTAGCAGCAGCAGCAGTAGCAGCAGCAGCAGGAGTAGTAGTAGTAGTAGTAGTAGTAAGCATGCATCCTGGCACCGGTGGGCAGGGGTGGTGGCGGTAGTGCTGGCGGTGGCTGTGGCTGAAAAACGCCAACAACCACAACCTCCGTACCACTTTGGTAGAATCTATGCCCTCAAAAAACATGACCTTCGTCTTGGTTCGTGCTCGAAATCTAGTACGTATCACATCCTTGTCTCTCGGGTTCCCCAAAAGAAGAGTCCAGTGCCACGCAACATGCAGTGCTTGATTGAAGCAAATGCTCCTATTCTCGACTGGGGTCACTGCTGTCCCGCGAAACCACCCTGAAATACGTCTACTCAACTGTCTTCGAATCCCTGAAACATTCCCAACGGCTCCTTCTTCTGGGCTTCAACCTTCAACCCATGGCAAAGGCCTGCTTGTACTCCACCATGGTCTTGGCACGCACCTTCAGCATGTTCGCCACCCGCGAATCCCGGAGCTTCTCCATGTAAGGTGCGACCTCTAAAAGATCCCTGCCTTGAGCTTGGGGGTTGAAAAAGAGATATCTGAGCTGCTAATGGCGGAGTACTCCAAAGTTGCTGTGGGGGATACACTCCCCCAAGCTAACATGGAAACCCATATAGCCCCATTTTAGAGGAACTGTAGTCTTTATTGGGGCCCTTTTGGGTTTCCATGTTAGTTTCCAGGAGTGTACATGTGTCCACAGTTCTTGGTAGTACAAACTTCTACAAGCTTCTGAATTGCCAGGGTTGCCTGCATTGATGCAGCTCATGCTGCAACTATTGAAGATGCCGCACCTTCCTCTGTACTGTGCCCGTATAACCCCATATAACCCTTATATAACCCCCTGTATACCCTATGTAATACCCATATAATCCCTATAATCCCTGTAGTTTCCACCTTCTTTTCCATCATCCCTACATATCCCAATGGAAACAACAACCGACGGGATGAAGGAAGAGCCCTGGTCCTCTTTGAATTTGGTGGTGCTACTTTCTATATTTGGGGGGGACTCCCAATAGAGGCCCATAGGGGTTTAGGGCTTAGGGAAGCCTAAACCCTAACACCTAAATAGAGGCCCGTAAGCGCTATAATTGCAGTGATAGGGATAGCCGAAGGGCTGCTGACCAAAACATCCCTGGAGCCGTTCAGGGTTTAGAGTTTAGGGTTTAGGCTTTCAGGTTTAAGGTCTAGCGTTTAGGGTTTGGAGTTTGGGGTTACAACACCACACTACAGTATGCTTCTCCCCGAAGCTGAAGCTTCAACCTCAATCAGCTGAAGTAACCCCGATCAGGCCCAAGTTTTGGGGAAATCTTGGGAGCAGTATGGGGGGTTAGGGTACTTAGAGAACTCAAAAAAGGTTTCCACAAGTAGGTGTGCCACAATATCAGCCCTGATGAACTAATTTAACGAACCCATAAAACCCCGAGGGAAGTCAACCGAGGACCTTGCATCTGGGAACAGCTTCAAAAGGATTTCGGCCAATCGATTGTGGTCTGCCTGGATACTTCTTTCGAATTTAGGGCTTAGGGTTTTGGGGTGGGGTTTAGATTTTATGACTTAGGGCTTAAGGGTTTGGGCCTTTAGGTTCAGGGTTTGGCGGGTTTGGGGGTTTCAAGAACATTTTTGCAGTTGAGGGGTTGGGGTAACAAATTGCAGGACCGTAGCCTACACAGCAATTTCTATTCACTGTGGAACCAATGCAGCTCCAACTGACGCTGAAAGACACACAGGTTTCAGGAACGGTACCCCTGACTACAGTACAGCTCACAGAGCAGGCTTGACATCAAAACGCATGATCAGCTGCGAAGGAGCTCTGCAGAGGGCAAGTATCTGCTGCTTTTTACATCTTAATCAAGGTTTAGCGTTCATGGTAAGCCTGCAGTTGGAACCCGAATCCCCACTTAGCTTTCTCCTGAACTAGAACCCCCCGCCATAGCCCTAATCCCTAAACCCCAAAGACCCCTTCCCCAAACAGGCCGATCTCCAAAGCCTCCTTGATGTAATGCTGGTTCAAGCCGTTCAACTTCTCGAAATCGAAACAAGGTGCTCCTTGCTTAAACAGGGACATATAGGGCTTCGTAGGGATATGTAGGGATATATTCGGGATGTAGAGGGACATATAGGGACATGTAAGGATGTGTAGGGACATATAGGCCTGCATAGAATTTGGGACTTGGGGCTCAGGGGCTTGGCGCGTGGGTTCAGAGCTGTGCAGGCGTTGGGCGCTGGCGGTTTCAGTCCTACATAGCGACCTAGGACTTAGTTTGTTTAGGCCATCTAGAAGGTCCAGGGGACTTAGCAAGTAGATTATACTGTAGTCTCCTTTTACCTATAATAACAATATGTGCCTCAATAATCCTTCAGGGTTATACGTGAAAAAATAATTCCTGAGGAGACTACAGTATAAACGCGGCTATGTAACCCCCAAGCGAGGTTAGTCTGCCTGTAACCACGTGTGAGGCCTACTTACTTACTCAGTCCCCTGAGCCTTCAGGCAATGAAGACCCATAATCAAAAAAACTCTCTCCTTGTAAGGGCCTTAATATTGGGATCCCTATTACAATTCCCATTAAGGGGAGGGGGGTTATTAATTAGGGGTTTACATTAGACTCCCTGGTCGGGTCCGACTGTCCGTTCCAAACTCCCAGACCTGCGCGTGGAGAGGCACTTTTGAAGCAGGATATCTTGCACCACCTAGAGTCCCCAAAGCAGCGCAAGTGCAAGGCTTTAAGGCGGTATAGAAGTGCTGCAGGATTTCTTCCATCTGCAGGCTCGCACTGTACTGGACCTTTCCCATTGTCTGCCATATGAAGTTGCTGCTATCTTATTGACTGTAGAAACTCCGAGGAAACAACGAGTTACACCCCCGGTTCGCGTATTGAAATCTCTGCTGAATGGGGGCACCAAACTTGAACACCTCCCATACCTCAAAACATGAAAGCCTGCTACTTGGAAGGATGTTGCCGCTAGGGCAAAAGCAAGTAGATGTCCCGACACTGCCGTTATGCTGTAATGGGTTCATGTTGGGGTGTTCCTTTTGTTGGAGCCTGTAAACCCTAAACCCCAAACCCTAAACCAGGGCTTAGGTTGGGCATTGCCCAAATTTTGTAACAGTGTAAATTAGGGGTCATATTAAAGGCTATACATCAGTATATTGTGAATATGATCCAGCTGTTGCAGAGCGTGGGCAGTACCCAGGGGTTAGGGCAGGCATATTACAAAGCAACCGGGTGATCCATAATGGAAAATACAGGAACCCTGGTTGTAACTTGGAATTCCCCCACCTAGCCCTAAACCCTATGAGCTACTATCTAATCCCAGCTTCCATGTCCCTTTCCATGTCCTCTGGCATTCCATGCTCCGTTATTTGCTCTACGCTGGGTTCTCTTACATACAACTCCTGAAAGGACCCATATAAACTTAGTCTCCGTTTCACATTCCATTCTCTTGTCCACTGCCCTGAGCCCTAGATCTTCCCATAGAGTAAGTTGTCAAAAGCGTGGTCTATTTTTGTGTGTCGTTTAAGATACATGTTTTATATTTAGGGTCCAAAAAGGTGCCATAATTGTGACAACCAACTATTCATCCCCTTTGCTCAACCCTAAACCCCCAGACCCCTAAACCCTAAAACCCCTAAACCCCTAAATCCCCTATAATCTAAAACCCCTCAACCCTACACCGTAAAATCCCCTAAACCCTAAACCTCCTAAACCCTAAACCCTCAACCCCGGTCCTCGCGAGCAGGCTGAGAGATTAAACCATTGGATCGCCTGCTCTGTGGAGAAGATCTCCTCGGTTGGGGAAGCAGTAAACGAGGTGCTCCAAAACTAAGGGCATCTTTTTGGGGGGATCTTATTTGGAAGGATGAAGGCTTAGTCAATACGACTATGGGGGGGGGTAGAAAAAAACAACATGGGGCTCAGGTCTTGCGTAGGTTTGACTTCTAAAAACTTTAGGAGGCAGGTTACCATTTAAGCAATTGTAGAAATTCGGGAGACCAGACCAGGAGTCTGGGATTTCAGGCTCTGGGGCTCTGCGCAGTGTGGTCCTAATCATGACCACCTACTAAGTATATTGGGGTTATATTGGGGTTATATTGGGGTTATAGTATATTGGTGTTATCTTGGGGATAATGGAAGATAAAATGGAAACTACAATAATTGAGATCTCAAGCTTGAGAGGGTTGTTGGCGCTCTTCTGAACCCTCCTTCTTCTCTAGCTCTTCGTACCCGATCTTATACCCTACACTCCCCGAACAGTTCTTGCCAAGTGCGACCTGGTCTCATCATCACCATGGGACCAGGACAGCCGCGCCAGGTAGTTCCTGATGGCCTCTGGGAGGTAGCCTTGGGAATTGGGCCGGTCGCAGACCGAGTTAAATGGGAACAGAAGAAGCGTCAAAGCAAGAAGAGGTCATGGTCATGGATACTCATGTTAAGAAAAAGAAAGAAAGAAAAGCACCGCGATGGCAGTAGGCAGCCTGAAACCTAAGCATATCTATGGCAGCGGCTGCTGAATTCCAAACTTTGACCAGCCCCCGTGCAGCAACCGTCCCTAGAAGCCTATTTGATGAGCCTTCATATAGCCAGCATGACATTCTGCTGGGACTGCTGCTGTATGGGGCCCAACCTGACCCTCCTTAACGTTCAACTCCTAAACCTCTCAGATCTTCGAGCCCTAAACCGTTGGCCATCATCGCCCAGACAAGGAGAATAGGTTTGCAGAAACAGATAGACCCAAAGTCCTACACCGTAGTAGGGAGGAACAACACAGGTTCAAACGCATGCAACGTCTCTCGTATCTACAGGAACCCTTAATTACCTATAATCATCCCCTAGATAATCCGCTACATAACCCCTCTTTAAGGCGTTCAGACTTTAGCCCTCATGATATCAAAGGCACCTTTAGCCTCGAACTCCTCCAGCCCCGTAGCACCGTGGCGCTTCGACAGCTTCTTGCCATCCGGGCCGTGGATCCTACAAGGTTTAGCGTTGAGGTTTAGGGCCTAGGCTTAGGGATTTGTGTTTAGATTTTAAGTTTAGGGTTTACGGTCTGGGTTTAGGGTTTAGGTTTACGGCTTTAAACCCATGTGGGACTGTCAAAACTCAGAATTATGGTCCCTTTGTAATGAAGCTTCTAATTATAGAGGGATACCACAAAAGGACCGCAATGTTGACAAAACCTCCGAAGACACAAACAATCAAGAAAAACAGGGGGGGAAAAAGAAGAAGACTGAAATCCTGAGGAGTACAACAACTTTCCGAGTAGACTCCAGAGGAGTACAGCATGGAAAATACTTTCCAGGTGGTAGCTTCCATAAAAAACTGGAGCCCAACATAGACACCAAAATACTATAATCCTTACTCTGGGGCAGAAAAAGGTATCCCTAAATTTGGGAAACCCCAAGCTTTAAAAACCAGCCCTATAGAAATTGAATTTCTATGGCTTTCTCAGGATGAAATGAGGATTAAGGGTAATAAAAAAAAAACTGACCTACGCCTGTAAACCCTGAAACAAAACCCTAAACCCTAAACCCTGAAACAGTCCAGGGAACAAAGGCAGGTGGGCGAAGTCCGGCAGCTCCCAGCCCCTGCAGCTTGGGGAATTCGAATGGTGGGGATCAAGGAGGCGTTCGCGAAGTTTAGGGTTTAGGGTTTAGGGTACCTAGAAGCATATGAGACGTAGTAAGTAGGTTCTGAAGGGGCTTATAACCAGACTCCCTCAATGAAGCGACTTATAACCCCAACAATACCTGAATGAAAAAGTCCCCTGACCCAACGCGTAATTAGAGATGCCATAGGTATGTCGGGACAAAAGTGGAAAGACAGCAGTTTCCTTGTCAAGGATAAAAGGGGAACCTTTGAGAAACTCAACCCTAAACCCTAAACCCAGGGATGTGAGGACAGGACGCAGAGTCTAAGAGCTGTGAGGTCTGTATTGAGGCTTTAGGTGTAGGGCTTAGGGGTTAGGGTTTCAGATTCTGGGTCTCATCTGCCTTCCTTGGCACTTTGATGTTTGTTCCAAAGTAAAGCAGCGGCATCCCTACTTCAGAGCCGAAAGCAATCCTGACCCAGAAGAAAACAAGAAAACCTTACTGGGTTGCTGTTAAGGAACCTAAAGAAAATTTACCATAATGTGTATATATAGTAAATAATAGGGTTTCCCCAATATAGTAATTTAATTTAAGTTCCTTAACAGCAACCCAGCTTAGTGCAGCCTGGGTACATGTTCTTGAAGACCGCTATTTGGCGTGCAGTATTGCCAATGTGGTCGGAACCACGAATGACCTTCATAAGCTTGTTCGGGGAACCGCTGATGACTATGAGTCACAGTTCTGATACAATGATGATGATGACGACAACTATTGCAATGACGACTGCTATGCTTGGCATTCCGATTGCACATTCACTGCAGGCACCACATTTGAAACAAGGGGTCCTGCTGCTGTAGAAATATGGGGATTTCCAAGCCTTGGCGGCTCCTGTGTCGAGCCCTTTAACAGGAGGAACAAAAGTAGATTGAGGGTATACATTGGGGAGGTAATTCCCAGTTTTTCAGGTCCCCAAACTCTACCACTTTAACCCTGAACCCAAAACCCTACACCTAAACACGGAACCTGGGTCACGCCCATGTCGTGGTCGTCTACGACCACGGCAAGCAGGTAGGTCGGCGTGCCATCTGCGCGAAGGATGATATAATCATCAACGTCCTGTCAAGGTTTAAGCGGTTCAGGGTTTAGGGTTTAGGGTTCAGGGGAATAATAAATAGGTTCAGCATGGGGATGACTAGGGAATGGGGATAAGTAGGGTTTTCTATATGGGTTGGGGGTTATTAACGTACTTCCTATGATATACCCCAAGTACCCCAAACCTTGAGAATTACAGTGCTATAGTATACTAAGGCCATGCAGGATTCTTGGCATCAACAGCAAGTCTTCCCGACTTTCCAAGAACCCTAAACCCTAAATCCTACGTCCTTAACCTTAAACCCCAAACCCTAAACCCTAAAACCCTAAACCCTAAAACCCTAAAACCCTAAACCCCAAACCCTAAAACCAGGGGTTTATGGTTTGGGGGCTCCGAGCCCCGTTCGGAGAAGCGTCGCAATGCGACAACGGCAACAAAGGGTAATTCAGGCGGTTTAGGCTTCAGGATTTAGGGTTTGGGGTTGAGGCTTTGGGGTTTAGGGGTTAGGGATTAGGGTTTAGGGATTAGGATTAATACAGCTACAAACATACCAAAACAAGACCAATATCAGTCGTATATGATAAACCCAAAATGCAACATAGGGCTTGGCGCCTTGTTCGGGATCTCAATCAAGCCCATGACTCCGTCCTGCGCGGGCTTGCAGCTACACACCCCCAAACGCATAATATGAAGCCCTACACAGACCCCTAGAAACAGAGACTTCTGCCCTCTTGAGAGGGGGTTGATATGGGTAGCTTCAATATTGCAAATCATCATCATACACGCCAACAATCCTTCTTATGAGGACCTCCGAAAAAAGGGATGCCGTAACTCCAGCTAAGGGATCCTAGCCATGTGTGGGGATCACAAAGGGATTCTGTCAGTCTCATGCAGGACTCGGCAAGGGTAATGTCTGAGCTCATTCTTGATTCCATGTGAAGGTGTAGAAATGGAGCGTCCAAACGAAGCCACACGGTTTAGCTATTTCTACACCCAGACCTACTGAAATTAGCCCTCATGAAAGGGGCCACAGGCTGGACATGACCCCAGTTTGGCAAACTCCTCTAGAAAATCCACCTCGAAACCCACAACTCCCATATCAGGAGGGTCAGGGGCACTTAGCAGGTGTACATAGCACTCCTGGAAGCCATACAGCAAGCCCACTTATCCCGATTTTCACCTACTCAAGCCTCCTGACCATCCAAGAAACCTGTAGATGTTCCAACAGTGAGGACCTGAATCACGCCAAATTCCAGTAAACTGACCATGTACACGAAAGCGCACGCCCAACCTGTAAACACAAGTGCAGAAGCCTCAAAAAAAATGTTGCACACCTCATGCTATGCCCCAGAATGCTGCCATCCTATCATTTCAGCCCCTGAACGGTCCTAAACGGCCACAAACGGTAAACTTACTAAACACCCACCTAAACCCTCAGCCCACAAAACCCTGAGCCCAAAATTCTAGTAGGCCACCACACCCCTATATATCCAAACAAAATTCCCATATCTGCCTATACCTGAACACCTGGCCGAAATTGCAACCTTACCTGGTTATTAGGGTTATAGATAACAGAAAATAACAACATGTTTTCAAGGAACTTCCAGTAAATCCTAAGCCCCAATTTAGACCCATGATGAATACACCCCCTCCTTTTTAAGGGCAATAATATTAAGATCCCCATTAGAGTCCCTATTAGGGAAGGGTGTTTAGTAATCATGGGTCTACACCCTAAACCCTAAACCCTAAATAGTAGTTTCCATTTTCTTTTCCACTATCCCGATATAGCCCCAACATAAACCCTATATAACCCCTATATAACCCCAATATCCTATGTTACTCCCATCCTGCCAGCTTGTCACCCCGTCGTCATTGGGGGTCTTAATTCGGATCACAGGCTGATGACCCGGTGGCGGCACGAAATCTGGTCCAAGGTTGCGGCCTCACCGTACAAAGGGTTTAGGGTTTAGGGGTTTAGGGGTTTAGGGGTTTAGGGTTTAGGTTAGGGGGCTAACAGTTTGAGGTTCACTGGGCTTGGGGGTTAGCCTGCTTAGTCTGTTTAGTCCATTTGCTCGCTTTGAAGTTTGGGGTTGATGGGCGGGACAAGATACTAAGACCAGCGGGCGCATGCATGGTCACATGTACACATGTGCATCGGTATGCGCATTTAAGAATCGAGGACATACCCATGTAAGCTTTGCAGTAGCCGGAAAATAATGCTGAGGGTCATTCTACAACACAACGATACCTCAGACTTGAAGGTACAGAAATGGAAGTCTAGTTGTGGAGACTACCTGCAGAAACACAAACCAGCAATGATACGATACCGAAGTAGTGTTATTAAGCAACGCCAGAAGCTTTTCCTAAGCCTGCGTAGGCCCTGAACCCTAAACGCGCCAGAAGTCCCACCACACGCACAGTAAGAACAAAAGACTTAGGATTCTTCTCCCCTTGATACCTACCAAATCCTGAAGGGGCATCCCTGAAAGCTCCGCATACGCCCTACATATCCATAGGGTTACTATATAAAGGAACTTATAACTTAAGGTACCATAGTTTGGGTATGTAGTAGATAAGAAGACTTCCTTATTGTAGCTCAACTTAAGTTCCCTAACAGCAACTCAGTCTTTTTAGAAATCCTGACTTCAGAGCTGTGCCAAACAATGACGGATACTAACCTTCCCCGAGACGCGAGTCTCTTGTGGCAGGCAAGCGTCCTCTTGGGTACACATACATTAAATAATAAGAACAACCATGATAATGATAACGACGGCATTCGTATTTTCAACAACTAATCATCATCATGGTAATGATACAAAGAACAATAACCATAAGAATCACACAGAAATACATCCAAACATAGATCATTTGTCGGCACTGTCCTGTTCTAATGCTATTTGTGGAATATGTCTTGTAGGAGCAGGAGATTTTGGCGACCGCATTGCGACTCCTCCCACTTAGGGTCAGGCACTACACTCCTAGTATCCCCCTCAATAACGCCTAAAGTAGTCCCCTACATAAGCACCTATATAACCCCCTTTAAGGAGTTTAGGCCCTAAACCCTAAACCCTCCATTTTATCCTATATAGCCCCCCTTTAAAGAGTCTAGACCATAGCACACTAAGGGCCAGGCACTTGCCAGGATATCTAAAAGCGATGTGCTGCTTCTCAGCCTGCAGCTGCAAGATCAACATGAGGATTTTGGAAACCCTGACCCCCGAAATTACGACCCTATAACCATCATATGATAGTCATAGGGTCCTGGTTTGGGGATTGGGGTTACCAAACCCCTTTTGGTAAAGATACGGAGCATAGCTCAGGGTAGTAGGGCATCGGCTTCCCGGGGTCAGGGTCTAGAGACCTACCTCGTTTAGGGGAATAGGGGTTAAGGGGATAGGATTTAGGGATTAGGGTTCAGGGTTCAGGGTTCAGGGTTTAGGGTTTAGGGTTTGGGGTGTAGGGTTCAGGGGATAGGGCTTAGGGATCAGGATTTAGGGTCCTACCTGAACACTACTCACAGATAAGTCTGTTTGAGGTACCCCAAACCATGACAAGATAAGGAATTTAGAAGCATCACGTAGGTATTGTAGCCTGCGTCAGCATGATGGCCTCTTCAAGGAAACCTGACTGGCAGAACCTCACATCAGCCCTTCCCCCTCACATTTCACATCCCTTCTTCCAGCGCATGGTCTCAGACATGTCCTATTTGTTGTTGCTGTTTCGATTCTCATGCGAAATTACTAATGTTGAGGTGGAGGAGTCTTTGACATCACGGGGAAAAGGGGTCACAAATGTTGGATGCTGATTAGTGTAGGGGGGGGGTGCCACCCCCACCCCCTGACTTATTCTAAGAATTAGCTTTTTTGGCCCCGCAACTTCGCACAAGTAAGGGCCCCAAACGACCAGGAAGGTTTGCTCAATAATTTCGGCAAAACTACACACAGTTAAGGCCACCCACACTAATCAAGATCTAACATGGGACATATCCTTCCGTGACAAAGCTGGATGTCTTCTCCGGACGAGTGCAGAATTTTACAGCATCAGGTTTAGGTTGGGTACTGCCCCCCCTCAGTAACAGTTGGATGATAATTATACGATGGTTATATAGAGCCCTTAATAGGACCCCTAATATAGACTGTTACTGGGTGGGGGGGCAGTGCCCAAGGTTTAGGGCTCTTTCAACACCGACCTTCGTAATCCAACCAACCCTACGCCCAGATGAACTTTCAAGCCTAATCCTGAAACCCCAGTCACAAAACAGCGTCTAGACCCTACAGGCCCCTAAACCCTCAAACCCTTAACCCCAAACACCTAAACCCAACACCCCAAACCCCTAAAACCCTGAACCCTAAACCCCAAACCCCTAAACCCTAAACCCAAAACCCCAAACCCCCAAATCCCTAAACCCTAAACCCAAAACCCCAAACCCCCAAATCCCTAACCCTCAAACCCTGAAACCCCAAACCCCTAAACCCTAAAACCCCAGACCCTAAACCCTTCAACCCCAAACCCCCAAACCCCCAAACCCCCAAACTCGAAGCAGGCCTCGGCCCGCATGGCCTCGAGCTCTTCTTTGGAGCAGTAGCACTTGTAGGCCTGAAGCAGTAAGAATCCTCCTTGAGGATCTTAAGGGGATATAGTTAGGGTTTAGGGTTTAGGGTTTAGGGGATATAGGGGTGATAAAGGGGATGTAGGGGTGATCTAAGGTTAAAACCATGGGCCCCTAGTATGGGCCCTTAACCCTGGGATCCTTATATACCTACTATATACCCTATATGTACCCTTAAGGGGCCCTAGAATCCCCTTAGAAAGGCCTAAGGACCCACATTAGGGGCCCATACTTCTACCTTTAGACTGAAAGCGCCCCAAGCAGTTCGCGGTTTAGGGTCTAGGATTTAGGGTTTAGGGTGTAGGAGTTTGGAGTTTAGGGTGCAGGGGTTTAGGGTTTAGGGTGTAGGTGTTTGGGGTTTAGGATGTAGGGTGTAGGGTGTTTGGGGTTTAGGGTGTAGGTGTTTGGCCCTTTACGGGTACACTTCTTCTGGGTGCCTTGACTACCCATGCAGGGGCTGTATGGGGCCTATTAGGAGCTATCTAGATATCTGCACCCTAAACCTGAAGTCCTAAACCAAAAACCCTTAAACCCTAAACCCATATAGGGATGTACAGGATGTCTAGGTTTTTGGCTTTTAAAGCTTGGTGTCTGCAGGACCTGCTCATCTTCAAGAACCTGTCGCGGGACCTTTATACATCTTCTGAAGAAACCTTTACCCTGAACCCTAAACTTAAGGGATAAGGTTTAGGGCTTAGGGAATCCCTCCAGAATCCATCATTGAATGCACTATCATGTAACCTTTGTGTACTTCTTAAACCACCCTTAGTTGGAGGGTTTGCGGAAAAAATGGCTCTGAGTCCAGCACCCCACCATTGGCCAGCAGCTCAGCAGCAATTTCCTTGTGGCGTCCTCTCAGGGTGCGATCAATGGGGCAGCGTTTTGGAAAGGTTCCATTTAGCTAGCAACTGTACATCCTGAATAGCTGTGACAACAAGAAGCGACAAACAGCGGCGAAACAACCTCAATATAAACCAACAAAGCATGACGATGGCAGCTACCATCCTGAAGTGCATGCAGTGATGCTCACTGCAGCTGAGGCTACTAATTCGGGTCCTATGTTCGCACGCTGCCGCACAATCTCTCCATCGTGCGGTGTGCCCAGCCAGGCCATTCCCTGCAGTATCGCATCTACGGCAGCCTCGTTGTGCCGTTCCACATCCGTGTCTTCGATGCCTGAACTGGTGCTGGTGGCAGTAGCGGCAGCAGTAGTAGCACTAATACCAAAATTTTCTGCTACTACTGCTACTACTCTGCGCCTACCACCACCACCACCACCACCACCACCACCACCACCACCAAACAGGCTCGTGGCGGAAGCTCGGTATGTCTAGCAGACGGAGAATTCCTGGTAGTGGAAGCAAATATGGCAGTAGTGAGCACTGGAGCGCTGTTATAACAACACTGGCTGTTGTTGCAATAAACGCAAAATAGTAATTATAGCAATAGTAGTCTGGGTTGGCCCCTAAAACCCTTTTAAAAACATTAGTATATAGGGTCCCTTATTAAAGCCATTAGGGAAAATATTAAATATCCCGGGAGCCTCCCCAGAGTAGTAAGGATAATAGTAGCAGTAGTACTGGCATCGGCGAAAGATTGTGGAGCAGAAGTAGAAACTGTCATGGCAAGGGAGGGGTTGCAGCAGTGGGATCTTGACTGCAGGCAGAAGTTCAATCAACAAACAACTGAGTCAGATACTCTTCTTAGAATCAGGCTGGGAATCCGATTGTCGCGAATGGAGTTTGGAGATCTCTTGAACTGAGGCTACTGGAAATACGTTGAGACCACTGGCAGATTGCGGGATCCAGTGAGGATTGTAAACCCAAAACCCTAAACCCTAAACTGGCTGTGGAGCAAACCTCAAAGCTGTCAAGCAACGCATCAGGAATTTGCCGCCGTGATGTCTGGCAAACCTGAGGACGGTTCAGGACCTAAGGGTCTAAAGCAAAGAAGCATACAGTTCTCAATCATGGGCGGAGGGAAACCACAGGGCATCATTCCAGTCCTCATTGGTGCTTTTGAAGCTTCTAGTACCCTTCTTCTTCAGAAACACATATCCAACTGAATCTTAGACTCACCTTACTGGTTCTTCGGGGAATATGAGAATATAGCAGGTACAGGTTACACAGGGACCATATTCCTTCATTCCTTACTACGAACCAGTAAGTCAGTTCAGCTTTTGACAACATGGCCCAACTTTGTAATCGCCCATTGCCTTGGATTTTTACCGGGATAGGGCTTGGGCCTTAGTGTCTAGGGTTTAAGGTTTAGGGTTTAGGGTTTTGGATCTTTAGCCTTTGCTAGGATTCATGATGGCTTGGGAAGTAGAAGTG